GCATGTAGCTTGCATTTCAGAAGTTCCTTTCTGAGACAATTACTGGGAAATCAGAATGTCCGCAAAGAAGGAAAAATATATTACAGATAATGGTTATGTCCTCAGAGCAGTTCACAAAAGCAGTTTGAAGTGCAATTCCTCCATGGCAAAAATTAGTTAGTGTTTGAGCCATAAAGGCAGAAAAACTGGCAGGGAGATAAGAAGGGATCTTTCTTCTTAAGGACACTGCAAGTTCCTAAGACTTTGCTATATTTTAGAGAACTGTCCAAAATCAGTTTCTTATTTCATTAAAGAATCGAAGAGCACCATGAGGTGAGGTCTGAAGACTGAGACTGGAACACACAGATGGGGTTGAGAAAGTGGTGGTGGGCTTAGAAGACTAACAGAAGCTGTCTGATGTCTCTCACCACTTCTCCGGACCCTGCCCTAGATCAACTCTAGGACACGATCAGAAATGAGACTGGGTTCTTTATTTATTTTCGTAAATAAGGGGTTTTAACCGCAGAAAGATCTGGAAGACAATGGGAAGGACAGGGAAATTCTGTGGTTCATTAAGCAGTCTCAGATGCACAACAGTAAGTAAATGACATATTATCAATGTACATATGTTGAAGATAGTCTGTATCAATCTCAACAGTCAATCTCTTTGCAGAGCAATCTTTAATCCATTTGAAATCTCATCAATTAGAGGAATACCCAATCATGAGCAGCATTTGAAAGTGTCTTTGCTTTAATTATAGTCTTATATTAACCAAAGATATCTAGATATCCAAATTCTCTCAGACATAATTTTAAACTGCCATAACTACATCAACCTACTAATTTTTAAACTAACTATACTCAACGAATATGCAAAGATAAAATCTGCCTTATCAATGAATATCACGGACTCCAAGAAATGAATAATGTAGAAAACATCCACAGCTCATTACAGATGAACTCATTTTTTTAAAAACTGGCATATAATTCACATATCACAAAATTCACAATTTTAAAGTGTACAATTCAGTGGTTTTTAGTATGTTCACAGAGTTGTGCACCCACCACCACTATTTCAAGAACAATATTATCACCTTAAAAGGAAATCCTGTACCATTAGCAGTCATTCCCCATTCTCTCTACCCACCGGCCCCTAACAATTCCATTACTTCCTGTCTCTATGCATTTGACTATTCTGGATGTTTCATATAAATGAAATAACATTTGACTTTTTGTATCTGCCTCCTTTCACATGCATTTTTTCAAGATTTGTCCAGGCATAACATATATCAGGAATTCATTTGTTTTTATTAATTTTATGAATTTTTATATTCATAGATCACATTTTATCCATGGATAGCATTTTATTTGTATATACTTTTTTCTTCTTTCTTTTTTTGGGAAATGGGGTCTTGCTATGTCACCCAGGCTGGAGTGCAGAGGCATGATCATGGCTCACTCTAGCCTTGAACTCTTGGACACAAGTGATCCTCCCTCCTGATTAGCTGGGACTACAGGCATGGGCTACCATGCCCGGCTAATTTTTTAACTGTTTGTAGAGATGGGGGTCTCGCTGTGTTTCCCAGGCTGGTCTTGAATTCCTGGCCTCAAGCAATCCCTCCATGTCAGCCTCCCAAAGAGCTGGGATTACAGGTGTAAGCCCCAGCACTCGGCCAAGCTTCCTTTTGTGCTTCACTACTACGTGCTCCTTTGTACTTGCTTGGTAAATGTGTTTACGTCTTTTAAAAAGCTAAGTGTTATTATTTTCCTAAGAAGATTTGAAATTGGAGAACAAGTAATTTCTATTTCTTTTTTAAGTAAACTCCCACAGAACCTAATAAAGAATAACATCTAGCATAAAGAGATATAAATGAGTCGCTGCCTTCTCCTGGATTCATTTTCTCCTCCTGTAAACAGGATATACTGTCAACACTAATAATTCCCATCAGGATAACTTATGTGCATTTAAACAGTACCATACACATCTAATTGCTATACAGCATAGAGACAGAGTAGGCGATGAAACACTCCTCAGCTGACGGCACAGGAAATGTGGTTTTAGCAAGCCCGCTTTATCGCCCAGTCCAACGGATTACTTCCATCACTGACCTCTGCTATGTTAATTGCCTGCACGTTCCTGGGAATTTTTACTTCCTTATGCATAGTCCTTTTCCCAAAATCAAATCCAGGATTTGTCACTTAATTGGTTCTTAGTGGGGATAACAGAGATAAAACCAAAAGTCCAAAATATTTTCCTAAATCCCTATTAAAAATTCTATAAGGATAAACAGGCTAATCCTTCAAAGTCTAAGACTTGGTTCCTGAGTGGATTTTGATGACACTGTTTAATGTCCCTACCTTCCCGAAGATACAATTACATTTTAAAAATTATACTTCTAACATTACTAAGTCTTTTTTTTTAAGAGACAAGGTCTCACTCTGTTGTCCAAGCTGGATGACGGTAGTGATGCAATCGTAGTTCACTGCAGCCTCAAACTCCTGAGCTCAAGCTCAAGCCTCCCATTTCAGCCTCCCAAGTAGCTGGGACTACAGGTACCCACCACATAGTCCAGCTAAAAAAAAAAAAAACAATATTTTTTTTTTTTGTAGAGACGAGGTCTTGCCATGTTGTCCAAGCTGGTCTCGAACTCTTGCCCTCAAGTGATCCTCCCACCTTGGCCTCCCAAGGCTCTGGGATTGCTGGGATTATAAGCATGAGCTACTGTGCTCAGCCCTAATATTATGATGTCTTAAAGAGACAGAAAACCCTTTAAATTATCGAAGTATTCCAATTGGGACAACCCCCTACTATATCAAGTACTGGGGAGTCTGGTGGTTTTGAGTCTAAATTTGCTTCTCTGTAGCTTGAGGGAACTGTACTGGCCAAGGCTCTGACAGAGAAAATGCTACTTATTTACTAGTGTCCCCTTCCAAAAAAAGTTCAAGCCTCTAAGTTTAAAAAATGTTCACACTAGGATTTGTTCAAGCTTCCTCAGACTCAAATGGTTAGGGCAGTAAGGGACTTTAGACATCTACTTTAACCTAATTATTTTACAAATGAAAAAGAGGTGGGTAAGAGAGAAAAGACCTGCCCAAATCTATAGAGTCAGTTGGGAAAACTATTACACTTAAAATAAAAAGGTACTCAGACTTCCAGCTGGAAGCTCATTTGATCACACCACCTACCTAAAATGTCTAAGTACAGACAGTATTATAATTCCTCTGTGTTGCAGTGAGCGAGATCGCATCACTCCACTCCTACCTGGGCAAGACAGTAAGATGCTATCTCAAAAAAAAAAAAAAAAGAAAAGAAAGAAAGCAATTCCTCTGCTTTCTAAGATAAAAAAAAAAAAACAAAAGCAAAATGGATAACTTTCTGACTTAGAAAGTGAGAGTGGATCCAGCCTAGACAACATGACCAAACCCCATCTCTACCAAAAATACAAAAATAAGCCAGGCATGGTGGTACATGCCTGTGGTCCCAGCTACTTGGGAGGCTGTAGTGGGAGGATGGTTCGGAAGTTGAGGCTACAGTAAGCCGTGATCATACCACTGCTCTCCAGCCTGGGTGACAAAGTGACCATGTCTCAAAAAAATAAATAAATAAAGTGAGAGTGGGCTGGATGCAGTGGTTCACACCTGTAATCTCAGTGCTTTGGGAGGTTGAGATGGGAAGATCTCTTGAGCCAAGGAGTTTTAATCAGCCTGGGCAATACAGGGAGACCCTGTCTCTACAAAGTTTTAAAAATTAGCCATGTATGGTGGTGTGCGACTATGGGCCCAGCTACTCCGGAAGCTGAGGTGGGAGAACTGCTTGAGGCCAGGAGCTCAAGGCTGCAGTGAGCTATGGCCATGACTGCACCACTGCACTCCAGCCTGGGTAACAGAGCAAGACTGTGTCTCAAAAAAAAAAAAAAAAAAAAAAAGTGAGAATGAAAGGTAGAGGTATCAGATTTCATTTCATGAGATAAACAATTTCTTGTTAAGTATCATTCCACAGTTCAGGTTTTAAAAGTTGCCAGTAAAGTATAAATGTCATGATGGTCTTGCCTGGAGGCTAAGCAAAATGAACTAGATCATCCCTGCAATCTGAAGGTTTTTCACCATACTGAACTATGGCAGATATTGATTTTGCGTGCCCAAAGCTATCACCATTCCCTCTTTTCCATGAGCAAAGTCTGTAGTCCCTTGGACGGAAGAATGGGCATGTGTCCTAAGACTGGCTAATCAAGCACCTCACGTCACTGGCAGGAGTCTAAGTAGGGCCAACCAGAATCCTCCCTGGGAACGTGACACAGATGCTGAGAAAAATAAACACCCTCCCCGTTTCCTACCATGTGGAGAGCCCAAGACCAACATTCAAAGAGAAATAGACAAGCAGAGATGGCAGACAGCAAGAGAATCTGGCAGTGTCAAATCCTTGGTTCTCATTCCTGAGCTGGTTTCTTTGTAAATTAATCTTGTATCTGTATCAATTACAGAGGCCAGAAAAGTCCTTTTTTGCTTAAAGTAGTTTGAATTGGATTTCCATAACTTGCAAATCCAAAATCCTAATCTATACTTACCTCAAGAGAGAGGACTGAATATACATTGCCCTTAATTCAAGGAAATCAGTTTGGACGCCTTTAGTCACAGGCTATTATGTCTTACATCTATCACTCCCAATATCCTACACCCACCAACTTTGCTATTTTTATTACATAAACCCTCAAAGCATCTGATTTTGCCAGTGCTTCCCCAAGATGTCCCTGGAATTAAAAAAAATCCTAATACAAGCTTGTTTCAGTTGATTTCCAAAAAAAGTTGAGCATAAAATACATTCAAGGTAACACAAGTTAAATGAGATTTTACCCTATCTAGAACTTCAAAAAGCCTAGCTATCAACACTTTAGTCTGTGAGGAGGCAAAATTTCAAAATTTAACTTGAATCCAACAGAGGTCTGCTACTTCAATATAATTTAGTTGCATCTTTTTCTTTATACCAATAGAAATCAATAACAATAATAAATCTCAGGACCTACCTCCAATAAGGCTCCAGTTTGAAAGAATTTCAAAGGCTTTTCAATTGAATAATAAAGGCTATGGTAGCTACCCTTAGCCAGGTATGCTCGGACCAGACCAACTGCTATAACCAGCCACCTAGTAAAAGAGAAAAGAACAATCAGGAAAAAAATAAAAATTTGAAAAGTAGGATTTAGGTTAATAGGCAGCTGTGGCAATAAAAAACATTGCTAAAGGTGACCTCAAGCATCAGTATCCTGGATTTATGAATGGTAGCTCTCAAATGCCAAGCTGTAATGCACTGAAATGTTGCACCACCAACAGCACCTTATCAAGAGGGCTCAGTGAAAGCACAGTGGCACCTCACCCATCTGGAGCTCATTTTTTTGGCAACTTTGCTGTTGAGAACAAAGCCAAAAGGAAAGGAATAAGCTAAAATGGTCCTTGTTCCGCTAAATTAGGTGCCAAGAAAATCAAAGACGAGAAAAAAAAGTTAAAGGAAAATTTTAAACAGCCTGTGCAGTTAAAGAGTTTTAATAATTACAGGGTAGAAAGAAGATGCTTTAAACTATTTTTATATTGTCTCACTGGGAATAATTACCCATACCTTAAAATCTATCCTTTTAAAATTAGGAATTATAGGCTTTTGTTGAAAAAAAGTTTTTAGCCAAATTTTCCAAAATCAGCTCAGAAATGAAAGCCGGATCAATACAAACCACAAAACAGGAAGCACTTAAGCATACAGCTGTGAATGTTATATTTTTGTTCCACCGTCCTCAAAAATAAACACAATTTTTTGTCAAGTTCCATAATAAAACAAATGGATCTTTTTATTAAGGTATGTCTCCTGGAAGGATTTAGGTAAATGTACAAAATCAGCTAGGCAATGGGGTGTGTGGTCTCTGCTATTTCCAAAAACTATCATATAAGGACATAAAATAAGAGTTTGTAAAAGAAGAAATTATTTAATGGTGTAACTGGTACAACTATTAACAGCGTTAAAAAAAAAAGCTTACTTTGCTCTCACAATCCCAATTTCTCTTCCTGGTTTAATACTCCTTACTCTCCACCCCATTCTCTTTGTTCATTGCTCAGGAATAGACTTCTTTCTTCTTACCAATGTACCTTAAAAATCCCTCTCCAGTCCAATGCCCTCACCAGCCCTTGCTAAGACACAAGAATTTTACATATAAATATTAATACACACAGAGAGAATCCAGGATGTTTTTTAAAAAATCTATTTATGTGACCACTGATGTGATAAAAGCCTGGATCCATACTAGTTCTTCACTGACCTGAGTCAAGAGAAATCATTTCTAGACCTGGAACTTCTCTTAACAAGTTCTATGATCTCATGCAAGTCACAACTTCTCTGACCCTGTTTCCACACCTACCATTTCTAATACTAGCAATAAATCTATGATCCTCCCATGATATTATTTTCTTTTTCATGAAAAAAAAGCAAGGTGCTGAATTGTAAAAATATTAAAAATATTGCTATTTGTCTTATCTTAAAAAGAGGTAGAGGATGTATAAACATATTTGCTTGCAGCAGTATATTAAGGATACATAAAATTAACTGCCTCGAGATAGGGGATTTGGGGAGAAGGGAAAGGTGGGAGGGGGCAAAGATTTTCACTGTATGCCCTGGCTTATATTTTGAATTTTGAATCCTGCCAATGTATTACCTACTTTAAAACTAAATAAAGATGGATGTTCACTATACAATTCTTTCAACTCTTCTGCATGTTCGAAATTTTTCATAATAAAATGTTAGGACTTTTTAAAAATTACAAATGAAGACTGTAGAAAAATATATAATATATACAATATATATTATATATATGTAAAAATAACAAATTGATCCTGTGATCCTCCTCACCATAATGATGAGATAAAGAATTGCAGAGCTGAAGGAACCTTCATCACCCAGCCCAACCCTTTAGTTTACAGATGAAAAAAAGGAGGCTAGAGAAATAAGGTGACTTATCTAAAGTCACACAGCTAGTTAGTGGCAGAGCTTTAACTAAAAACCCGCCGGGATAAAGGATAGACTGAAATGAGGGAGACAGGTGGGTAAAAGAGTTTCGAGGGTCTATTCTCCCCGTCCCCAGTAAATCTGCCTTCTATCCCGCTGTTTCTTCCCCACCCCAACCCATCCTAAAACTCTAAACTCATCTAAAGCCCAGCTCTGCTCAAGTAGCTGGCCAAAAACTTTGAACACTTTCCCAATATCTTCCGGATTAAAGCACAGCCCGGATTTTGAAAACAGCCGCCCAAATGAATGGTCACTCTGCAGCCACAGCTCCTTCACTCCCCAGGCTGGCGCCGTCCACCATCTGAGCCTGGCCGCCGGGGCTAGGCTCCGCGCCGCCAGGTCTTCCGGCCGCCGCCCCCGGCCCCGCACCTGTGGCCAGTCCCCCCTTCCTCCCGCGGCCCTCGCGAGACAGCGCCCGGCAGCAGTCCCCGCGCCCCCGTGCCTGGGAACTTGGCTCGACCCCCCGGCGCAGGCGGGAACTCGCGGGCAGCCACAGGGGTCGATTCATTCAGCGCTCGGCCGCCCTCAGCGCCCAGGTACTGGGTCCCGGAAACCGCCCGCCGGGGCTGCACTGCGTGCGGTGGGCCGCGCCGATCCGCTCAGGCGGCCGCCAAGCTCCCTCCCCGGCCGCGCTTGGCTCCCCGCCTCCCTGAGCCGAGCCCCAGCCTCACCCCGCTGTCATCACCACATTGTAGATGACCAGGTACGCCGTGGCCAGAGGCCCCGGGCCCTTCTTCTTCCGCGTGCCGCTGGCGTCCCCGGCCCCGGCCCGGCCACTGCCGCCCCCATTCCCTTTAGCCGCTGCAGTAGCCGTCGCTGCCGCCATGTCAAACGCCCGGAGCCCGCTCTCCCAGCGCGAGCGCCTCGGGCCGGACTCGGCTAGGCAAGGGGGCGGAGGGAGGGACTAGGGGGAGGCGGGGCTGGGGCCGCGGGGCGGAGCCGGGGACAGCGCCCACGGCGGCCGCCATCTTGGCTGAGGGCAGAGACGCTCCTGGCGCTCGAGTCCCTCGGCTTGCCTCAATTGCCACTGCCATCTTGGATCAGGGTAGGTCCGGCCTTTTGCGCTCTCCCGGTTACAACCTCGGCACCATTTTGGATTGGGTCAATGTGGCCATCCTCGTCAGGCCTGCTGCTTCTGCCAGCTGGATGTTGCGTTGCCCTTCGCTATTCGCCCTCCTGTAATCGCCGCCTCCTTGTTGAATCAAAACAATTATGCTGTCGTTCTCCCTTCTTCAATGGCCCTACCTTCACACCTAAACACACTCGCTCCTGTATCCTGCCATTTTGGATCCGGGCGGTTGACGGTGAATTCACTTCCCATCAACCCTTGAGGCTGCAGGGACCAGCCCTTTGCTAGGTGCGCTTTGCTTCCTAACCCTTACCCGGGTTGGAGAGTCCACCTCCGAAGGTTTTTTCCTGACTTTTGTTTTTTCATAACTAATACAGTGGGAAAGCCCGGGTGGCCTAGAATCCAGTGTCGTCCCTGAAGGCTTGTCAGGTGTTCAAGTATATCTTCCACCTTAGACCTTGTGGGCTCGCTCATCGTGAGGGCGAGAGGAGGAAAAGCCCATTGGGCTCTCGGCTGAGGGTGAGGTGCCGGGTAAGGGAGCAGGTTTATAGCTGCGGTGACCAAAAATAGAAGAATGCTGGCTTAGGTGGAAAACCTGCCTTTGAGAAGCTGGAGCAGCTCGTGGGCACTGCTTCAACCAGCTCATTCATTGCTTTGATTCGGGAGGTTCTTTATTTGTAAACGTCCCCTGCAATTTTTTACATACTCAAGCAGCTCCTCAGAAGTATTACTGTATATGCAGTAGTATTAAATATTTATGGATTCATTCCAGCCATGTATTTATGGAGCGTCCACAAAGTTGCACTGGAGTTCATGGCACTAAGTGAAAGAGACAAGTCATCAGTCTCCCAGGGATTATATAGAGCAGCGGCCCCCCAACCTTTTGGGCACCAGGGACCGGTTTCGTGGTGGGGGGTGGATGATGGTTTCAGGATGTGATTCAAAGGCATTACATTTATCATTAGATTTTCATAAGGAGCACACAACTTAGAAGATCCCTCCAACGTGCAGTTCACAATAGGGTTCCTGATCCTATGAGAATCTGAAGCCACCGCTAATCTGAGGGAGGGAGAGCTCAGGAGGTAATGCCCCCTTGCTTGCTGCTCACCTCCTCCTGTGCCTCCTGGTTCCTAACAGGCCATGGACTGGTAGTATCTGCAGCCTGGGGGTTAAGGATCCCTGAGAGAACCAGATGAAAATGCTTGTATTCGTTGGTGAAAAGTGATATGAGGAAGTTATTATAATAATCCAGCCGTGGTGATAGTGGTGTGGGCCAGAGTGGTGGTGATCGAGGTAATGAAAACAACAATGAATTCTGGGTAAATTTTAGAAGTAGAATCATAAGATTTGTGGATATATTAGTTTTGGAGTGTGAGGTAAAAGACAATATGAGCAACTTGTAAGAACTGAGTTGTGTAAGAAACCATTTTTAAGGCGGAAGTCAGGAATTTTGTTTTTAGTATGTTGAATTTGAAATCCTTATTAAACATCCAAGTGGAGAGGCTGGATAGGCAGTTAGATTTAGACACTGAGGTTCAAGGAAGAAGTCCAATGGGCCAGAGATATAAATTTGAGATTTGTCAACCTAAAATAATAAAAAAGATAAGACTCTAGTTTAAAGGAAGTTTATCCAAGCATAAAGGTTGAAGATGGCCACCTGGAAGCATAGATTCAAGTTACCCTATTTCCTCCACTCCACCCTCAGGTGAAAATTGTATATTGAGAAGGATGCAACTGTTTTGTCTTTTTATGTACTGACACATTTTAAAAATATTTCTCATCCCTCAGTATCCACCCTTTCCCCTTTAAATACTGAAACCCTCAAAATCACCTTTGGAGAAAGGCATATACCTGCCTCCCTGGCACGCATCCTTTACTTTGGCAAACAAACCTCAAATAATTGAGACTTGCCTTGGTCACACTCTTTGATTTACAAAGCCAAGATGGGGGATGGTTAGATCAGGTCTCTTTCAGTTATAATTTTCTCAGTTACAATTTTTTCAAACGCAATTCCAAGACCTCAAGAGATGAAATTGAGAGGTATGAATCGACAATTGTCAGGGTGCCATCCTTTCCCACCTTTGTAAACTGTTTAGAGATTCTGTTGCCTCGTTTTCCTGAATTTTTTAAAGAGGAAGTTTGTGAGCCCAAATTGCACACTGTGATCAGAGGGTAAAAAATTTTTTTTGGAAAAGAAATAAAGAAGTGAACCATTTTACAAAATCAAATAATCATTCATCTAAAATCTTCTTTCATTCATTTCACTGATTTATTTTTTCAATATAATCTACCTAATGGGAAAGTAGGAGGAGGCAGGAATGCATAAAGTTCTGTCAGTTGGAAATTAATTTAAAACTCAAAGTATCTTCTTGCAGTCACTTAGACCCAACTCCAATCTGTTATTTACAGCAGCGACCCCCAACCTTTTTGGCACCAGGGACTGGTTTCATGGAAGACAATTTTTCCAGAGACCAGGGAGGGGATGGTTTCACCTCAGATCAGCAGGCATTAGATGGAGCACGCAACCTAGATCGCTCACATGCACAGTTCACAATAGGGTTCGTGCTCCTATGAGAATCAAATGCCACTACTGATTTAATAGGAGGTGGAACTCAGGTGGTAATGCTCACTTGCCTGCTGCTCACCTTCTGCTGTGTGGCCTTGTTCCTAACAGGCTATGGACCTGTACCAGTCTGTGGCCCAGGAGTTGGGGACTCCTGCTCTACAGTGCAGTCAGAGTGATCTTTTCCAAATACAACCTTGTTCATGTCTACTACCTTCCTCTATCCCACCTTCTTAAGATACTTAAATGGCTTTTGATGACACTTAGGATAAAGCATAAAATATTTAATGTGGTATACAAAAATCTGCCTAGGCTGGATTTAGGATAAAGCATAAAATATTTAATGTGGTATACAAAAATCTGCCACCTGCCTCCTCAGTCTCACCATGCCCCTCCTAGTCATACTGGCCTCATCTTAGATCTTCCAGTGAGCAAAAATTCCCTTTTTGCCTCAGGGAATTTGCACATGCTATTCCAATCATGCCTTCCCAACAGTCCCCCAAAGTCTTAACTCATTCCAGCATTAACTCAAAAGTCCAAGTCCAAAGTCTGATCTGAGATAAGGCAAGTCCCTTCTACCTACAATCCTGTAAAATCAAAAACAAGTTAATTACTTCCAAGATACAGTGGGGGTGCAGGCATTGGGTAAATGTTCCTATTCCACATGGGAGAAATTGGCCAAAATAAAGGAGCCACAGGCCCCATGCAAGTCTGAAACCTGACTGGGCAGTCATTAAATATTAAAATTCCAAAATAATTTCCTTTGACTCCATGTCTCACATCCATTGCACACTGATGCAAGAGGGGTGCTCCTAGGGCTTTGGGCCACTCTGCCCCTGTGGCTCTGCAGGGTACAGCCCCTGAGGGTGCTTTCATGGGCTGGAGTTGAGTGCTTGTAGCTTTTCCAGGTCCAGGGTGCAAGCTGTTGGTGGATCTACCATTCTGGGATCTGGAGAACAGTGGCCCTCTTCTCAGAGCTTCACTAGGTAGTACCCCAGAGGGGACTCTGTGTAGGGTCTCCAACCCCACATTTCCCTTTTGCATTGCCCTTCTAGTAGAGGTTTTCCAGGAGGGCTCTGCCCCTGCAGCAGACTTCTGTCTGGACAGCCAGTCATTTCCATATATCCTCTGAAATATAGACCTAGGTTTCTAAACCTCAACTTTTGGCTTCTGCATACTTGTAGGCCCAAGACCATAAAAAAGCTGCCAGGGCTTGGAGCTTGCACCCTCTGAAGCAATGGCCCAAACTGTACTTTGGCCCCTTTTAGCCACGAGCTGAAGTGGCTGGGACACAGGGCACCATGTCTTGAGGCTGCACAGAGCAATAGAGCCCTGGGCCTAGCCCATGAAACCATTTTTCCCTTGTAGGCCTCTAGGCCTGTGATGGGAGGGGCTGAAGATCTCTGAAATGCCCTGGAGACATTTTCCCTATTGTCTCAGCTATTAACATTCAGCTCCTTGTTACTTATGCAAATTTCTCCAGCCAACTTGAATTTTTCCCTGGAAAATGGGGTTTTCTTTTCTACTGCATGGTCAAGCTGCAAATTTTCCAAACTTTTATGCTCTGCTTCCCTTTTAAACATATGTTCCAATTTCAGATTGTCTCTTCGTGAACACATATGACCACTTGCTTTCATAAAAAGCCATATGACATCTTGAAGGCTTTGCTGCTTAGAAATTTCTTCTGCCAGATACCCTCAATCATCTCTCTCAAGTTTAAAGTTCCACAGATCTCTAGGGCAGGAGCAAAATGCTGCCAGTCTCTTTGCTAAAGCATAGCAAGAGTGACCTTTGTTCTAGTTCCAAATAAGTTCTTCATCTCCATCTAAGACCATCACAACATGGACTTCATTGTCCATATCACTATCAGCATTTTGGTCAAAACCATTCAACAATTCTCTAGGAAGTTCCAAACTATCCCATATAATTATGTCATATTCTGAGCCTTCCAAACTATTCTGACCTCTGCCTATTACCCAATTCCACACTTGCTTCAGCATTTTCAGGTATCTACATAGCAGTGCCCCACTCCCAGTACCAATCTTCTGTATTAGTCCGTTTTTACACTGCTATAAAGAACTACCTGAGACTGGATAATTTATGAAGAAAAAATGTTTAATTGATTCACTGTTCTGTATGGCCTGGAAGGCATCAGAAAATTTACAATCATGGTTTATACAGTTTGGCCGTGTCTCCACCCAAATCTTATCTTGAATTGTAGTTCCCATAATCCCCATGTGTTGTGGGGGGGATTCAGTGGGAGGTAATTGAATCGTGTAACCGGTTACCCCCATGCTGTTCTTATGATAGTGAGTGAGATTCACAAGCTCTGATGGTTTTATAAGCATCTACCATTTCTCCTGCTTGCATTTCTCTCTCCTGCCGCCATGTAAAGAAGGACATGTTAGCTTCCCCTTCCACCATGATTGTAAGTTTTCTGAAGCCTCCCCAGCCGTGCAGAACTGTGAGTCAATTAAACAAACCTCTTTCCTTTATAAATTACCAAGTCTCAGGTATTTATAGCAGTGTGAGAAAGGAATAATACAATGGTGGATAGTGAAGGAGAAGCAAACACCTTCTCTGCAAGGCAGCAGGAAATAGAGACAGCAAAGAGGGAACTGCCAAACACTTGTAAACATCAGACCTCATGAGAACTCACTATCATGAGAATAGCATGAGAGAAACCACCCCCATGATCCAATAACCTCCCACCAGTCCCTCCCTTAACACATGATGATTACAATTTGAGATGAGATTTGGGTGGAGACACAGAGCTAAACCATATCACCCCTTTTTTGCATTTATAATTTTTAAAATATCACTAGTTCTTCCCCCTCTATTCATTGGAATTTCTACATCTTGCTTCTCTTCTTTTATTGGTTACCATAGAAATTACAACATGGATCATTAATTCATTAAAGTCTAATATTAATCAGTATCTTTATCATCTTCCTAAACAACACGTGAA